ACTTTTTTCCCTGCTCGATTTGTGTATAACATAGATTTTTAAAATTTTCTTAAATGGTTTCCATGCTTTGGTGATCTATAATGTTCAGTGTACAGCCTCTTCTTGTGCAGCCAAGCGAGGCATGCAAGGAGTATTCCATTTTGATACTACAATAACATTTTTAAAAGGGAGAATTCTTCCTCAACCACCTTTTAGTGAACTGAAGCTATGAGAAGTCTTAGATTGTTGGAGAATATTCCAACTTTATCAATTCCTAATAAAATGACTCTTTATATTTGATTATGTTGGAGAACTAGGTGAAGATCTGTGGGAGTGTGTCATATTCTAATTTGAAAAATCATACTTTAAAGCTTTAGATGTTAAAAATTGCTACAGATAGAATCTACTCACATCAAATGTGTTTTTTCACATTTCAGTTCTTGATCAGAGCTCTCATACTTGTGTTTATGCATGATTCATTTTCATTTTTACTGATTTTGATTGATGATGACGATCCTGTCTTCAACAATTGCAGAACAGAAGAAACAAAAAGTCTCTGAAATAAGAGACAGATTGGAGGATGCTGAAGCACTGGTAAATTATTAGTGAGCACGTGCAAATTTTCTTTACGTATATGCAACTCTGGACTAACAAACTACTTCGGCAAAATTTACTAGATTCGTAAAATGGACCTTGAGGCTAGGAGCTTGCCTCCCAGTGTGAAGGGTACACTTCTTGTCAAGTTGAGAGAATATAAAACCGATCTGAACAATTTGAAAACTGAAGTGAAGAGAATCACATCTTCTCATGCCAATCAAGCTGCAAGGGATGAATTGTTGGAATCTGGAATGACAGATACAATGATGGTGCTTACGCCTTCTGTTCGCTCATTCTATAGTGACTAGTGGATTAAATGGTTTATTTTACTGTTTTGATGAGTTGGCTAAAATTAGTGCCGTTAGATACCTTGATGTGTTTTTTCCCTGATTTTGTGTGTCTCCCTTTTATTCTCTTTGGAAAGATGTTTTGATATATTTCAGTTTTGTTAAACAAGTGCTACATATTCAGTAGATTTGCTTAATACATCTGTACCTGTATTATGGGCTATTGGAAGTGGGCTTACTCATATTTCCATGCGCATATTTTTTCTTGAGTTTTCCTACTCCAGTATAGGATCAAAGGAAGTACTTAGATGCCTAGAACCTCTTCTTCTTCTGCTCTTCCTTCTCATTTCTCTTTTGCGTCCTTTGTTTAATTTTCCAGAAATTTAATGCTGCCAGACTTCATAATATATCCTTTGAACCTTAACTTCTCTTATATGCCTACTATGGTTCCTTGGACTTAAAACTGCATATAAGGCTCCAAAAGATCCTCATGACAATGTTCTCAGTTCTATTTACAGCACCCAGTGAATCCCAAACCTTTTTTTTTTCTTGCATACAGCCTGCAACCCTTGTACAAATCCACTGTCCATATTGTATATTTCCTCTCTGACATTGAAATTCACAGATAGGTATACAAATTTTTTCTGCTGCATTGACTAGAACTAAGGACACTTTAGGCTAGTATTCTTACTATTAAATTTTCTCTCTCAAGATGTCGTTTAGTACCTACGCTTAAATATCAAGGATCATCTGGCTAGAAAGCGAGAGTACAAGTAATGAAATTTTTTGTCTGATGTCGATGTTATACTTTTTTGGCAGCAGAATATTGCTTTTAGTTATAGTTTTGGCTTCAGCTACTAGCAATATACGAAGACATGGATTATTTTTATTTTTTCTTTTCAAGTAGCCTCGATGGTTGGCAAACTCTGTCCAAGATATTTTTCTTGCCAACTATTACTCTGTGTTTCTCTTAAAGGAGCTTCTTGGGATTTTGGGTGCTTGCTTTCTTTGTTTTTCCAAACTATGGATCTGTCACTTTGTCAGATGCTGAAAGTTGACATATATGTAATGAATGACAAACTTCTGCTCTTCAGATGTACTTACCTAGTTACCTATATACCGGTGCTATTATACAGGCATCTGCTGATCAAAGAGGAAGGTTACTCATGTCCACTGAGAGATTAAATCAATCTAGTGACAGGATCAGGGAAAGTAGAAAAACAATGCTGGAAACAGAAGAGCTTGGAGTTTCAATTCTTCAAGATTTGAACCAGCAACGTCAATCTCTTCTACATGCACATGGCACAGTATGTCTTATTTTCTCTCTTATATGTTTTTCCCACCCCTCGGTTTTTTTTTCTGGAACTTGTCCCATTTAATATTTGCTATTCGGTTACAAGTATCAGATGAACGTTTTCTGCTCTAAGAAACTATAATCCAAAACTGAGGCTCTTAGGGTGTTAGTTGTGAAGATCGAATAATTTCCCTTTCTGCAGCTTCATGGAGTGGACGACAACATCAGTAGGAGCAAGAAAATTCTTACTAATATGTCCAGAAGGATGAGCAGGAACAAATGGATCATTGGTTCCATCATTGCAGTCTTAATCGTAGCAATTATTTTGATCCTTTACTTCAAGCTCACTCATTAACTTGTTGGCTTGAATATTTAAGTGTGAATGTTTTCGTGTAATTTGGCCTATGTAGTTTCGCTCAAGTTCCTGAACTGGTGTACCAGCTTCTTTCTTTGCGTCCCTCAATTTTTTTGTACTGCCCATGTTCTTTTACACAAGTTCCTGACCTTGTGTACCGGCTTCTTTCTTCGAGTCCCTCAAATTTTTTTTTTTATTGGTGCTAAAGCTACATTTTCTATTCTTGTGTTTGTGATATGTTTCACTTATAACATTCCGTTGTTGACGATTCGACATTCTTGTCAATGAATTTCTTTTTTAATGTTTTGACTAGCGTGATGATCGTATGTTTATAGAATTATGTTAAGTGTACATTTTATGAATGACATCTTGCCTTACATTGTGTGGAAATTCAAAAAGTGTTGGGTGGGAAAATGTTTGTTTGTTTGTTTTTTTTTTTTTAAAAAAACTGTCCAATCATGTGCTGACATGTGGCACAATGTAAAAAGTGATATAAAACAAGATGTATATATAACATGATTGATGTTTATACCATGATGAAGTACATAATTTCTAACTGCATAGAATAAGTCCATTCTACCAAACATGCTTTCTTTGCAATCATTGATGGTTAATTAATTTCTTTTACAACTTGTTCAATCTTTCTTTATTTTTTTCTTATTTGAGCTTAAGGTTCTGGTCCTCTACGTAATCCTGCTCTTTTTTAGCTTGAAATTGTGAATGCCTAGAATTGCAAATCAATAAGTTTGACCGCTCTCATACTTCCAATAGCCTAC